TTAAAAAAATATGTGTTTAAATACCATTTTGGAGACACACGCTTTTAAAGAATGATCTGTACCTTCAGGTACCAGGTTACTGGCATTCCCAAGACCTAGAGTTTGGTGTCTAAATTCTCCTCCTCCAATACTAGCATGTTATTCCAGCCAACTGGTTTGTTGAGTTCTTCTAGGGGGTGGTTATAAATCAGGTTTATGAAGAGGGAACTCTCCAATTGTGCATTTTAGTGGATTTATGATAAAGCCATCAAAGCGGCGGGTCCACATGGTGCAAATGCAGTGAAGGTAACAAAACGGTGTCATGTAAACTAAATACAGTGCCTTCCACCTTCATAAATCCTCTCTGTTGATGAGTCAACGCTTCTGGTTATAAATTTTTCAAGCAAATTCTAGATAGAACCACAATTGTAAATAAGACACCAGCGGAAGCCATAAATTGCCCATAGGATTCCCCCCACACACTAGAAAACTCTCGAGTGTTCATTAGAAGACAATACTATAGTTTCTTCTTCCCCCAACAACTATTTTTTTTAACTTCCTTCAATAATAAACTGAATTCCTGATTAAAAAGTAATAATGCAATCCTTTATTGCTATGTTTAGCATTACAATCTATGACTTTTATGTGGCAAAATATCGTTTTGATTTACAGATTTATCTAGCTTTAGGTCTCTATAACATCACTTTTTTTAGAGTCATGTGTTAGAAGTTCCTGCAACAGCCTAAGCTCCCATAGGTATTTACAATCAAATTATTTTATTGCACGTGGGAACAGTTAAGCATTTGGCCCTCAGCTGTAAACCATTACTATATACAATGACATTCATGGATTTTCTTAAATAGTCATGTATTCCTAATGACCTCTGTTAACATAAGTGAGATTGATGTATGTGTACCTTGTGTGTGTCCATGAGCAATTATATTTCCAAACATAATATCAAGAGAGAGCCCTGACCTGGATGAGATGCTGATATAGTCTGATACCATGTGGCCACCTGCACCAATTATCTCTAATATTTTCTTTTCTTCTCACAGTCATTTTACTTCTCTTCCAATTAAGACTGAAATCTCTTAGCGTTCACAGCAAAAGGCAACATGAGTTTTAAATGACTCGTTTTTAGGATGTTAGGAGTGTCTTGCTCTAATACACTGGTATTCATGTTCAGATTAGCAGAGAGCTACATCATACAAGGAGAGATAACCAGATAAGGTCAGATTTGCAATATGCTTTTGTCACTTTCCAGTTGAGTGATTGGAAACTACTTCTTCCAACCTTGATTTTTGTATTTTAAAATGTATATAGCTTTATCAAAGCTATGCAACTATTATGAGGACTAAATTGGATGCATATTTAAAGAGATGGATTACATGCTCTATATTCCTTGTCTCTCATACTCTGGGACCCTGTATTGGGAACATCCGTTTAGCTGTCTTTAGTTTGGGGTACACACTTTCCTTTCACTAGATTCTTCTTTTCTTCAAGTGACAGCCATGGGAGAGAGAAGCTCACAGCTGTTTTACTCATGTCCAGAAATAAGTCAACCAGTCCCATTTGCAAGGGGACCTAACAGCTGTATCCAGCCTTTCTAGGAGGTCAGAATCAGAGCTGAGTGGTAATGTTTCAAGGGCAAAGCTCTAGATGTAAGGAATGATAAAACAAAACCTAAATGAGCCTGCACATATCTAGTGACAGATATGCCATAGCTAGTCTCAATTATTCAAGCTTCCTTAGTCTTCTAGCAGAAGAAACATAATTCACCCCTACTCTCTTGATTCTACTCCCATATAATAGCAAAGAGCAAAGAAAACACACACCCCTGCCTCACCCCACCCCACCCTCCCCCCTTCTAAAGAAAAAAGCTTTAGTAATCACTCAAGTTGAGAAGAGTTTCTTCAACACATGTCGCACTTTCAGATCTGTTCAAAACAGGGTGTTAGCTTTGCAGGATGAAGTTAAAAAAATCATTTTGCAATAATTATGAGTGAGTTCCTTTCTTCCCTTTTGTTGGCATTTGGCTGGGAATGAGCCAGTGAAACAGCTGTTTAATTACCCAAGGCATAACAAACATATAACCCCTTAGGTAAGCTGTGATGATATTCCAGCAGCAATAATACCAGGGTCAAACATAACAAAGAAAATCAGTCTTCAAATAAGCAAATCTCAACAGAACATCTTTGTGTATTGAGACTAATTAATATCTTGTTTAGGAAAATGGTCCCCAAATGTGGCTTTTGGATAAGGAACTGGCACTCTTCAGAGGCTAGAGATCCTAATATTTAACAGGCTACTATTTGGTGGGCTGACTGGATGGTTATCCTGTGGGTGTGGCAAATGTTTCTTATGTGCCATTAGGCAACATTTAAACAGTATCTAAATGATACCATGTATTTCAGCTGAATCAGTCCAGCTGGAAATGATAGCTGCATTCAGATTACTGGGCCACATGTGAAATTAAGGCCTTTTCAATCTGTACTTTTCACTTGCTATGTTTTGATATACATGTTCTTGGAAAGCTTAAATTAGTTATGGTTTGACAATATTTAGCAATATAACCACCCCCTTCCCTTTTAAACCATTAATTAAGACAGTCTTCTTATATTATATATTTAGCTTTTAATTTCAAAAGAGACTATTAGTAATTACCATATTTTATCCCACAAAAGAGATAATGTCTATTTTTTAATGTTAGGATGGAAATTTGCTGTACTTGTTTATGCAATAAAAGTTGCATAATTTTCTCATTTGGGATAGTTCATATTGTAAAAATAAAACTCAATGTGTTCCCTGGGAGTCATTTTACTAAGTAGTTCATGGCACAGGGATCATTATTTTACAAAATAGTCATCTGAGTATCATAAACTAAAATATCTGCAGGTTGATCACTACATCACATTAAAAAAAAGACACTTAAAAAGGAGTAACAGCAAGATCGAGTTATTATCAAAATGTTAAAAAGAAGAAAGTAAGCCCAAGGTTCAGACTCAGACATTTCGTTCAATTTCTTCATGTTTTCCATATGAACTAAAGAAATTCAGCCCACGGGAATTTAAAAAGAGAAAACGCTGCAGCCCAGTGTGGAGGTATGTTCTTCTTTTAACTGGGCACCACTATTGGATTTTATTTTAGAGGTAGGCAAAAATATTAAATGAGGATCCTCAAACCATAACAGCTCTCTATAGGACAGCATCTATGGCACTCAAGTGGCAAGAGACTTTTAAGGAAAAGAAATCATCATTAAAAACACCGTTTCGGCTACTTTCTAAGCACCAGAATGAAATATATTCACATATCTAATAAGGTATTTAATATTTCCAATACTAAACCTAACATAGATTACTTCACATGCTTCTGCAGAGGTATTGCTTATAAACATACTGCTAATTTTAATGAGCAACTAAGATGAAGGCAGCTGAAGACACACAAAAGTTAATGTTGGATGTTTGTGAATCCCCCAAGAAGAAAACTGAGTTTTTCTTCATGTAATCTTTATTGAAAAATAAAATGCTAAACTCCGGTCAGTTACCATTTTCATCAATACCTGATATACTCTGAGTAAAAAAAAAAAAAAAAAAAATTCTGAAATGTGTGACTCACACATTTCAGTGTGCTGGCCAGTGTATGCTTGGAATTCCCAAAGAACTAACACAAAACGTTCCCCTTGAAAGGTGACTTGGAATTTACCAAAGAGATAAAGCCAAGCATACAGTCATTAAAGATGTTTAAATGTCATTGTCTACTGTCTTCAGTGTGCCATTACAGAGCCTTGGGAATCCCTTCAAATAACAATCAATAGAGGATGAATAAGTCTCAGCACATGAAAGTAACCAGGAAAGGAAGCCAACAGAATAATCTGACTTGCCTGGGTTGGTTCAAGGAGAGACATGGTATCCACCTCTTCCCTCCTCATTCTTCCTCCCCTTATTCAGCCCCCCCACCCCTACACACACACACACACACACACACACACAAGACAGGACGATGGAAAGAAAGACCAGAGAGAAAGGAAGAAGGAGAGAAAAAGATACAAGGATCCCCTGCAGAATGTGCGGGGGAGACAAACCGCGCCCTATGGGATGGAGTCTTGGAAACAGAACTTAGGCTTTTACTTTGAAAAATAGAAGAATGACAATGAAATTTGTGTGAGGTCTGTGTGACTCCAGTCCCAGATGTTTACAATGCTGTAGTACTATGCCTCTGCAATATGAGAGGTTTCAGAAGAAACAGTCCAACAAGACACCACAAAGCAGAGCGCATATGCTATTGACAATGCAGACATGAGCGTCATGTTACCAAGAGAGCAGGCAGGAGACAAACATCAGCGGTGCTGCCCGACGAGCTAACTTCACGGACTGCCATCACTCAAACCAAACGGAGGGACCCAAAAGGAGAAAAAAAATTTCAAAACTTGGAAAACAAAAACAAAAACAACTCTTTCGGCTTCTATCTAGAAGTGGTGGGGCAAAAGATGGGGGCGGGAAGATGGTGGAAGTGACTCTTCTTCCTTAAACTTCCCATAAAGCCCCTATAATTGACAGTGGATAATTATTTTCAGCTTTAGGAGCCGGTCCCAAAACTCGTAAGATTGCCAGCGAAAAGAAACAAAATGTGTTTACTTGAGCCATTTCCAGAAGGGAGGGAAAGGAGACCTTTGGATGAGATGGGGGCGGGGGGGGGGGAGGTATTGGAGACAGAATGGAGCATCTCCTAGAAGTAACAACTCTAGGGCATCAGGAGTGGTCGGTCCTGTGAGTGACAAACTCGAGAAACGGAGAATAGGGTGGCGAGGGATGTGTATGGTGGAAGGAACCGAGCGGCACAATGTATGCTCGGGAGGGGGCTGATTTAGTGTGAAAGTATTCCACTTCATCATTTTACAGGGGTTGGGGACATAAATATTTAGCTGGCCACATCTGGAACAGATTCTGCTCCCCCCCCCCCACGTCCCCGCGTGGGGTGGGGGTGGATAATTGGAAAGAGAGGAGCACGCATTTGTTACTTACTGTACGGACAGTTTTCCTTCTTGGTACCGCTGACCTTTCCATTCTTCTCAATCTTGAGAAAGTACTTGGTGAAGGAGAACAGTTTTCTCCAGCGGACATCTCCTTGGAGGTGATTGTAGCTCCGCACATGCCTCCCCGCACTGGAAGGAGAGGACAAGGAGGAGGAGGAGGAGGAGGAAGAAGAGGAGGAGGAAGAGGAGTTGGTGGCCTCCGGTGACACCATGTCCTGACCAGCTTGGCAGGTGACAGGGACGGAAGACACCAAGAAGAGCAACAAGAAGCAGCAACAGCGGCTCGGCAGGTGGGGAAAGGCTGAGGCACAATGTGTCAGTATCCATTTCCACATTGTACTGAAACTCTCGGCTCTGGAAATTGTCTCATCAGAAGGAACATACTGGAAGGGTAAGACCTGGTGCGAGGCAAAGAGACAGCTGGAGGTGGTGGCTACTGGTTAGCTCCCTCCGGGTACGGATCTGGCCAGAAGCGAATACACCAACATCCATAACTCCTCGGAAGGGCCGGCTGCCTGTCCTCGCTCCGTTCTCAGATCCGCTGCCTGTGTCTCTCCAGTCTGCGGGTGTACAGTGGACGTGGGTGGCCGCAGCAGTGGGAACTGGTGGTGTCGGTCACCAGCGCTCTCCGCTCCCCACCCCGGGGGTTACTTTGTTCTCTTCTTCACTCCTTTCTTCACCATGTTAGATGCAAAAGAGGTCTGAAAAACAGATGACAGCCCGGTGAACAAAACCCAAAGTGGGTGGGGTGGGGGTGCGGGAAGACATCTGCGCCCCTCTGCGGTTGGCACCTTCTGGTCCTTCTCTGCAGAGTCCCAGCCTGCTGGCCACTTAAAAAGTGTGTCTCTTTGGAGTTGTCAGAACTGGAGGCAGCTGCCCAGGCGCTGTTGTTTCCTTCTCCTTCTTCCTTTCTCTTTTTGGTGGTGCCTGTTGATGAGAAGTCTCCCGAAAGCCACTTCTTGTTTGGGGGGCGGCTGGCGGCTGGCGGCTGGTGTTTTGTTTGGCTCTAACCCTCCACCTCCATGTCCCTTGGAAAGCCGCTTGTAAACAGGTTGAAGCCTGGAGTCTAAATGTCAGTGCTTTTCAGCCAGAGGTGGGCTCTAACTCTGCTGGTCAAACCTCATTTGCAGGGGTGGAGAAGGCGGGGGAGGGGGTCAAACGGCGGTGGGACATCTGAAACCCTAAGCTGCTGGGAAAGCCAGGGAAAAGGGGGGGGGGGGGAAGGGGCCGAGGGAGGCGCGCGCGCGCGCGGGGGGGGGGGGGGGTGGGGGGGCGGTGGGGGGGTGCCTGGGCGCGAGGAGGAGTGTGCGATGCCTTTGCTCTGAGCTGGGGGCTGCGGGTCCCTTCCTCGCAGGCTCTGTGGGCGCAGCCGCCCCGCAGCCTGCAGCTCCAGCTAATTGCTGCTCCAGCGTCCTGTGCTAGCAGCGCTGGCCACCACCAGCGCGAGCTGTCCGCGTGCGTTCCGAATTTTGCTGCCCTCCGGCGGGAACCACTCCCCTCCCGGGAACCCCTTGCTCATTTGTTTTCCAGTGTAGTTTTCTTTTTCTTTCTTTCTCCCCCCGCGCACCCCACCCCCCGCACCCCACCCCGGGCCGTGAAAATAGAGTTTGGAGCCTGGCTTTTGTGTGTGTGTGTGTGTGTGTGTGTGTGTATGAGATTCTCCGCTCCAGGTCCCAGAAGCAGGGAAGAGGGCTGGGGAAAGAGCAGTAGAGGATGCTCAGGGCAAACTCTCCCCAACAGTAGATTATAAACTGATAGGAGCTAGAGAAAAGGGAGACATAATGAGCTGCTTCGTTTCCTCCTCTCCTGCCAGCTTCCAAGGAGGTCTCGGGTTTTAATGAATCATTGATTTCTCGCTTCCGTTGCTGAAGTAAAAAGTTCACACTTTGGCCCTCTCTGTCTTTTTAAGCTCAGGGAGATTTATCGTCACCCTTAAACATCGCCTCTCTCCTGGTGTAAATGAAATCAGGGACCCAAGTTACTGATTTCTAATTGCTAACACGAGTCCTTTACAGAATCAGGCACGGACTTCAAAGCCTACGCACTTTCCTGCGATCGCAGATTTTATCACAAAGTTTGACCAAATCCCCTGCTGCCTGTTTTCTTCTCTACTCAATTTCCTTTGCATTTTACCATAAAGAGGAGGGTCCCTCCCCCCAACTTCACATTTAATGTTTAAAGGGCTCTACTTTACAATGCAGCTTCACTACCTACAAATCTTCCACTCACACTCTAGTACACCCCAACCCCCAACTCTACCAAGGCTCACACAACCTAGCTCTCAACCCAGAAGCAGACATAAGTCAGTCCAAGACTAGGAAACTGTTGTCCAGAATCAGAAGGTTCACACACAGAAGGAAACACTGTGATTTAAGCCATTCCTACCTGAGTGTGATAGAGTTCTGAGTCCCAGAGGATCACTTCTTTAAGAAAATAGCTAAACTAGGGAAGGACTGCCTGGAAGGGATGCATGAACATATATTACTCTGTTCCATGAGGCAGTTGGACATCTGTGTTCTGTCTAAGCAAAACAAATTGTCAATACCTTACAGCTTTCCACTTAGGGAAGTGGCAGTATCACATGGTTCAACCTAATAGGCTGCACGAGATGCAGACATTTCAAGGTGAACCTGAGAGTTAGACAACTTGCAACAGTGATTCAGAAAGAATTTACAAAAGGAGCTTGCACACACAAGTCAGAAACACTGTCCGGTGAGCATTCGGCTTCAGTCTTCATTTGGGACCTGGGGGAAAAAAAAAATTAAAATTTAAAAGTTCTAGAGATGAGCGTTGTTAATGATTGGCCAAATACAAGTGAGTGGCTTGAATGTATGCGCTTATATTTTCCTGTGTGTTTAGTGCCTTTGAAATGGAACTATTTAATACCAGAATCAGGGTTTTAATTGCATTATTTATAACTCATTGCAATGTTTATTCAAAAGATTTCAGCAATGTGACGAACATCACAGCAGATTTCTAACTTTAATGTAATTAACTGATTTCTGTAGCTATTAATTGAAAAGTTAAGCAAATAAAGAGCATGCGTCAAAGAAGTCTTGCTTCTTTAATTAAAGTATGGATATTGAAAAATGAGCCCACAGTGCTAATTTCAATTTCCGATTTCACAGTTTTATACCTGAACAGACAAATGTGTGAAAGAGCAGATCATTTCTAAGGGATTTAAGTTTCATCCTCATAGAAAGAAGAATTCAAATGTTTGAATTGACAACTAATTGAAACTACATTTAAAAAATGTTTGATGGAACCATACAATAAAGATTCTTTTGTGAAAAATTATGAAACACAGGAAGTAATTAGTTTGGGGTTTCTTTACACTGGGCACCAACACTATTGATGCCAACTTGAGTGGTTTTTTTTTTTAATTCACACCAGACACTCATTCAACCCAATATACCTCTCTTTCTCTCTCTCCTACACACACACACACACACACACACACACACACACACACACACACACACACACAACCTTTCTGTTCCAGTAGAAGCTACTCAGATCTTCTAGCTAAAAGTTTTACTTGAATTCTATCTAAAATGAGGAGAAAGTCATTCTCAAAACTGTCCTGTGAAAACTTGCCTGCAGAAGGTGTAGTGTTTGAGAACTTGGGAGTCCCTTTGCCTCTCCTCTGCAGAGCATTGCTGACAGGGGGCATTTACTAAACTGCCCAAAGGAGAAGCTGACATGGCTTTTTAGATTGTATCTCATTCTTCTTTTTCTTTTCCGTACTGCCTTTCTTTTACAGCACAGTAGAACCCCTAAGCCCCCCCCCCCCCACTTTGTATTGTAAAGTCACCTCTCAACTTAGCCCCAGAAAGCCTGAGAAAAGTTCCACAGGAGAGATGCACTATTTAACGGAATCCAATCTCTCCCAACAGATTTGAATCACTAACATAAATGTATGAATGTAGATTATATCTCTGTAATGAGGCCTGAATCATTCTCAGTTACTTCAAAGGACTGAAATTCTACCTTCCTTTTTTTAGCTGCAATAATCAGGTCTTAATGGGTTCCTTTATTAATTGTTTCTCTGCTCAGATTGAAAGGACAGTACAAGCTTCAGATTAGAGTGGTACCTGCTTTTCTAAAGGGCTGCCTGTCTCTTTCATCCGATCTTTGGCAGGCATGCTCTGTTTCTATGGCCTAAGCATATCCAGTGATATTAGACTCAATCTTTATTGAAAGAAAAGGGAGGTAAACTTTTGTTAAATGTGATGATTTGAAAAATTACAGACCTTTAAAAGCAAGATCGTGAGAAGAAAGTTAAAGACTTGGAAACTGTGGCACTTTCATGTAAAGGAGGCACCATGAGGGCCTTTTCCCAGACCCTTCAGTCGCTATTCTCTTTGAGCAGTTTACATTTGAAACATGTATTTCCGAGATTTTTTGTGTTGCTCAGCGCTGTCTGTGGTTCAGTGACAAGATGTGTCTTCTGTTATGTGAGATGTTATTGGCAGTGTCCGTAAGCTGCTTCAAATAATGCTAAACCCGGTCAAAAGTCAGCCAGGCTGTTTGACAATTACGACATGTGTAGGCCTCCCTTTTTTTTTTTTTAAGCCTGTCATGCAGACATTAGGAGCATGGGACTGTTTTCCTATTTGCATATGGGAAATGCTAGTAGGAAGGCTCCCCCACCACCTCCCCGTTTGTTTCCTTCCAAAGTTACAGCTAGAAATGATGGCCACAGTCAATGATGTTTGAGCAAGTACAGACTTGATAGTTTATAATTAATAATTTCAAAGTAAGAGCTTCAGGTGGAATAAAAAAACATTTTTACCTTATACAGTGTAGGAGTGCAGCACTTAAAAACTGGTAGGAGGCATGGTCTGAGGGATTGATCATCCCTCATTGAAATGAACAAGGACAGAAGGGCTTCAGAATTCAGATCTGTTGAAGTTTTTAAACATTTGCATATACACTGAGGGGTAGCTTCCGGGCTGAATGTAAGTCAAGGAGTGAAATTCGAGTTTCAATTATATTCCATACATATAGTCTAAAGGTACACTCATTTGATATTTTAGGGACCTGGGGAAGTGGCTCAGCATCTAACAGCTCTTGTCATGTAAGCACGAGGACCCGAGTTTGACTCCCTGGCACCAACACACACAGGAAAAGGCAAGCCTTGCTCTGTACACCTGTAATCCTCATGCTGTGGCTGTGGTAAAAGGAGCATCACCGAGGCTTGCTGGCCAAGGGAATCAGGTAGAGAGAGTTTGAGAGAACAGCACAAAGCCCTTCCCCGGCCTACATACAGCTCGCTCTACGCTACATATACACAGCCCACTTACGTAGTCAGACACAAACACACGCATACCAGATTTATTTATTTATTTAGTTTAGTTGTGATTCTGCTTCGATTGCAACATAGATTTTGAGGTCAGACGTGGAATTTTCCTTTGGTGGTGTCATGGTGACTCTCACAAAGTTTGGATGATTGAAATATCTGTTTGGACTTTTGGTTTCTGAAGTAAAGATGGTCAGCCTGAAACTGAATTACAGCCCTTGCATTTTACAGACTGATTGAAATCACTCCGTGATAGATTAGTTAGGAGTGACAGCAACAGGGGTTCCATGTGACCCTCGGTTTCGCCACACCCACCTACCTGTTTTCTTTTCCTTCCTCCTCTCTCTGTTTTTCTCCTTATCATCCTTTACTCACTCTAATATGTCTGAGTTGCCAGAATGGACGAGATAAGAAAGCTTAGAAGGCTTTAGTTATGGAAAACCAGCATATCTTTGTTGCAATTGATTAGCCAGAGAAAAGCAGTAAAATGGCTTAGTGTTGAATTATTAACTATCAGTTGATTAGACAAAACAAAATAAGTGTTTTTGTGGTTTGGGTAAAGCAGACTCTTAAATGAAATGAACACATTTGAATGTAACCTATACTACAAATTTTCAGGATATTCACGAACTATTTGGAATTTAATAAGCATTTTTAAGTTGCTTCCCCAAGCAATTGATATCATTTAGAAAAGTAATCTATTAATTTGATTCAATTCTCTATGCCATCATGTTAAATTTTCCTGAAACAATATGGTACTTTAAAGCATAGATATTTATATAAACATTTTTTTTTAAAGTTTGACACTAAGGTGACTGTTCTGTTCCCTTATTTTCAAAGATCCAATAATCTCCTATTGAAAATGAAATAAGGCTAAGATAGAAACATAAAGGATCTTTTGTAAGAAAAATATCTATATTGGAATGTTTGAAATGTACTCACACTAAATCAGCACAATTCCAGAAAGCTGAACTCTGCATCTTGAAACCAAACACAGGGAACATATTTTCACAAAGCTGCTGTTCGTCCCCTCCCTGCTTCTGGCAGACAGAGCCTTTCCTTGACAAAGTTGTGAAGTCTCCGAAGAGCTCTGCTTGGTGCTTCCAGCTGCCCCTGTGCAGATCTGTGTCTCCTGCCAAGTCAAGCCCTCTGGTTTCTTAGTTGTGTGACATTTGTCCATATTTTGTTTGGAAATTACAATATTTCCCTTATAATTTTGGTTCTTCGGCATGGGAATATTTACAACGTGGTCTTTTTTTTCATACATTTTCTTATTTTTTTTCAATTAATTCAAGTGATGTTTATTGAGTATCTACTCTGTGCTAGTAGTCCATTGTCAGTATTTTGGGTCTAATGAAGATAAGGCAGTTTAAGTCTTAAAGAGTATGCATGCATGCATACAGGAGCAAACCTATCTATGACTTCTGTCTTTGTCATTAGGGATAGGAAAGCTTGGGTTGTCTCAGACCTAGAAAGCATTTGAAGAGATTTTAATCCTGACAATCATTTATGTTGTCGTTCTCTTCAAAAGAGCTAAAGGAAACTGTGGCTTCTGCTCACTGGCTTCATGAAGGATTAAGGTTTGGTCATCTCCTCTGTGGTTATGGGACAACCCTTTGCTCTAGATTTCTCCTACAAGCTTAGGATGTGGAAAAAAAATCTCTGCCAGCTAACCCTGATGTTCTCTCTTTTGTTTCTTTTTCCAGAATCGTGGATGGATAGTATATGTGTTGTAAATGATTATGTTAACTATTTTCTGATAAAAAAAAAAATTCCCTAACCCATCTGCTGTACTTTCTAATTTTGGTGAGATTTATTTATTATTCTTTATTTATTTGTGTTGCATGAGAAAGCATCTTCCTTGAATATACATGTGTGCAGGAACCAATGAAGGCCAGAAGAGTATTCCCTGGAGATGGAGTTACAGACAGTTGTGAGTGGCCGTGAGAGGGCTGAAAACTGAACCGAACCCTCTGTAAGAGCAATAGGTGTTCTGAACCACTGAGCCATCTCTCCAGTCCCATGTGCCTACTATTAAAACATACATCTTATCAAATTCAGTTTGACTTAGTACCCATTCCAAATTGGACAAGTTTTTCCCCTGTTCAATAGAATCAGAAACAGAAAAATGTGCACTCTGTGAATTAGTGATAACCAAATAGTTCTTGTGTTGTAGCAAATGCAATCCTCTTGTGCTCAGTTTTCTTGGATTATCCCTGGGAATCCATTCTCTTCCCTTCTCTGCCCAGCTCTGGGCTGACATCTGTACCTCTCCAGTGTTCCTCGGACAGGTGACTTGCATTTGGTTTTGTCAGTAGGTAGACAAGCACACACACAGAAAAGCTCATGGTATTTCTTCCCATATTTGTTTTGTTTTGTTTCAGTGCCGTGATTCCGACAGAATTTACACCTTCTCTTCAAAGGACTCTTCCTCAAGATCTCCAGCAATTCCTGGAGTCCCTCGGATACTATTTCCGCCTCTTGCTATTCAAGCTCAAGGAGTTGTATGGTTACCCTTCATTTCTGGCTTGTCAGGATCATCCTTTGTTGTTCCTTCAATTGTGCTACACCTCTGTGAGTAAACTAAACTCGGTTTAAAGGTCTCTTCCTGTGAGTTGTCTGAGATAACTTTGGTCTTTGTTAGGACAAAGCAGACTGTAGACTGGAATACACATCTTCCACAGACAGTAATCAGTCTGTGATAATGTGTTTTTGTGTTTATATGAGATTATAAGGAAGCGCAATTTAACACAAAGCCCATTGTAAAACATCTAGTGTTTGCTTGGGGATGTGCTAAATTCTTTGTAGAGAAAGATAATGATACATGACATTTGCTCTACTGAAATATATAGGATGGACTTACATTTAGATTGAGGACTACCAACCTTTTTATTTAGCTATTGAATTTTGAGGTTCAGAGAATCAATTATTTGATTGTTACAGGTTTGATAAAATACTTTCATATAAATGAACGGAGCTTAGTAAAGGTGAAATTACATCTGTAAACAAAATGCATTTCTAGAAAGCTGTGGTTAAAACTCCACATTAAAACTACTTTTTCTATGGTAATAGGGGGTGAAAAGAATTACAATTCAGTCTATACATGTATGAAACTGTCAAAGAATAAAAAATATTCAAAAATTAGTTTCCTTTCCAGTTAACTACGGAAATTTTAAATATTTCCTAGTGTGAATATTTAACACATCTTTAAAATAATTATTTTTGCAATTAAAAGTATTTTGTTAGCCTATAGTCATAGTCATATAATCCATTGTAGAAAACAAGGATTGGAATTAATTACGTCATTTTCTGGGATACTTAGAGTTATTGTTTGAATATTTTCTTTTCAACTAAAGACAACTATTTCAAGATGGAGAAATAGTCACATCTAAATATCAAGGATAGACATAAAGCTGTTCCACATGGAGAAATATCAAGAAGAAATACATGTGTAGATAATTGCTGTTGGTCATTGTCCTTTTAGGAGTTCCATAAACCATTGACTTCTGTAGAAATTGCTACAACTCAGAGCAGACAGTGCTTCTTATTTGAGCTTTCACTTTATGGTCCTAGGCCAAGATTCAACTGCAAGTTGTACGCTTGAAAAGACAGGACTTCCTGTTGTCCTCCAGCCCCTACTTTACAGGTTAAACAAAGGTGGGTCTGGGAAAGGTGCGGGCATTGTCTTAGGCAGTCAAGTTGGTGACAATCTTCTTCGTGTCTTCCAGACAAGCAAACAGAAAGGATTTCAGCTTCCACAAAACCAAGGACAGAATCCACTTCTGGGATAGCAGAAGGTCTTTCCAGCCTCTGAAGCAGTCAGGAAGGAAAGGTACATTTCAGAATTCAGGGTCTTGAGCATGTGAGGATTGGACACTTCCCAGGGTTTACTGCTACCAGTTTGGAAGATCCTGCCTTTAGAAGATCATGCTTTGTGACTGAGAATGTGGGAAAACCATCTCTAAATAAGAGAGTATCTTGATGAGTCCCTTGAATCCCAACCAAGTCCAACAATTCAAAATTGTGTGTTTTACAACCTGTTTCTGCTGAAGAATCTACACAGTGGTTCCTTGTTGCCCTCACCACTAGGAACAAAATCCTTGTTCTCATTCCCACTGAAGTTAGTGGAGGCTTGGATAGCCTGAGAGTAAATTTTTTATAAATCCTGGCTTGTATGCTCCCATTGCAATTAGTGAGGATTAGGATGCTATACTAGCTTTCTGTTGGTAGAGAGAAAGTAACCTTAGTTCCTTTGGCTAATTTGTGACAAAGAAGCATTCTTGGCTTTAACCAATGAAATCATGCTCATTTGTAAATGGATTAGTGCAGAATTTGCCTAGCTTTTTCCCCTTCCTACTTCAACTATACTTGCTATGGGTTTTAAAAAAATGCATGAGAACTATTTTATTCCTACTTTTTCATACTAAAAAGTTATTGTGGGAATTTCTCTTATTCCAGTTATCAATACACTAATGTGCACACACAGACACCCATACACACATGCAATCTTTTAATGCTATCTAGTTAGACAACTAGTCTTACTCTGAATCCTGTAAATATATGGGCTTTTAAATCTGGATCTGATATCATTGCTCTGTAATTCCAGTTGATAGGAATAGACAATGGCTTATGTGGCCTTCATAACAAGTTTAAAGTCAGCCTGTGCAAGTTAACAAGATCCTGTCTCAATTTATATGAACAGATAAATTAAACGCAGTGACGGAGTGTATGCCTAGCATGTACAAGACCCTAGGTTCAACCTCTGGTATTGCACAAAGCAAACAAACCCACTAGTAGAAAGCAGCCTTATAGATCAGTAGGAATTGATAGAAAAATAATAAGAGATGAAGGTACAGGTCAAGGATAGAACACTTACCTAGCATGGACAAGGCCCTGATTCAACCTTTATAACACGAATTCCTAAGTGATCTTAATAATAATAATAAAAAAAACCCAGAGCCAGATAGTAGGATAAATGCTGAAAGATCAGAGAGACAAAGGAACAAGCCACTGCCACGTCTCACCTCTAGGACCCCTTAGCCTGAAAAGCCTCAACCAATAGACCTCCAGCTGAATGAGCTTCCCCAGCTGAAAAGGTTTCAGCCAAAAAAGCCTCTAGCTGAAAGGAACGTTTCTGCTGAAAAGCCTTTAATTCCTGTCTCCTTACGACTTATATATCTTTCTCTGCCCAGCCATCACTTCCTGGAATTAAAGGCATGTGTGCTTCCCAGTACTGGGATTCAAGGCGTGTGCCACCACTGCATGGCTCTGCTTCTTGCCTAGACTGAATCAATCTCATGTAGTCCAGGGCAGCTTTGAACTCATAGAGATCCAGACAGATCTCTGCCTCCCAAGTGCTAGGATTAAAGCTGTGTGCCACCACTTCCTGGCATCTATGTTTAATCTTGTGGCTTATTTTATTAGGGTCTTCAGGCAAATTTTATTAGGGTACACAATATATGACCACAAACCTTCAGCAACACACACACACACACACACACACACACACACACACACACACACACTCAAGACTTAGACAACTTACTTTTGTACTAGCCAATATTAATATATGCCACATATAGCAAACTGAGAATGACATAGACTTTTGATACCACAAAGTCCAAACCCAGAAACACACTTCCAGTGACAAAGCTCTGTCTCTCTAATCTATCCAATCATTTCCACCAACTGGGGCCTAAATATTCAAATAATCAGCCTATGGGAGGCATTGTCATTCAAACCATCACAGATACATATGCATGTATATATCCATATTCTTAGAGAATTTATAGTGTGAATTCCTGTGTTTTTTTTTTAAGACAGGGTATCATGTTTTCCAGGTTGCCCTTGAACTAATCTATAGCCAAGAATGACCTTGAACTTCTTATCCTCTTCCATTTACCTTCAGGGTGCTGTGTTCACAGACCTGTGCCATCAGGCCTGGTTAATGTGGTATTGGCAAGCTCTCTATCAAATGAGCTATATCCTTAGCCTTACACTTTCTGAATTCTTCAGCAACACTGCTCCTATCCCTCTTTAAGTGGTTCCACCATTAGATGGGATTAAAACTGATGGATCACTTCATAAATTTCTCCACTTTTATAAAATTATCTAGTAATTAATTTTAGCAGCACCATGTTTCACAATTGTCGGGCCCACAATTCCTGTGCTAGTCTGTGTGAAAAGCATCTCCTGGAATTTTGCAATGCAGAAATTTCTGTAGCAGAAACAATTGGCTGTCTATCTCAGACCCATTACTAGCTTTTTCCTTTGTGGTAGGGCCACTGACTTATTTGGAAAGCCCACTCTCTTCCTCATGAATAGAACTCACTAAGCCAAACATAACACACAGTTGTTTGTCTTTGCTGGTGATTGGTTTTAGGGTGGACATATGACAAAGGTCTGGCATAAGGGAAGGTCTCTGGCAACCTCACTGATAAATAAAAAGACATGTCTGCTTTCTTATGCCAGCCATTGTCATGTGCAGAGATGTGATCCATGAAGCTGGGGAGAGTTTGTGCCTATAAAGAGAGAAGCCTGAGGGCAGGCTACAGTTAGTGGCCATGTGGCATGGCAAATCTGTGATGAAATACCACAGCTTTCTGGTCTACAACACACAATGACAGAATGACAACTCAGAACACTTAAAGTCAGGGACTCTCCAGCCAGAAGACAGCCAGAGCGTGAGTTCTCCGGTATCTCCCCACGCACTCTGGACAGTTTTCTGGCTGAGCACTGAGACACGTATGTGGGGAGAAGACCTCAGCTGCAGAAAAGGACTGAGATGAGATCTGAGCTAATGCAAAGCTGATGGTGGGGGTTCAGTCAAATTAACCAGACAGAGGACGACAATAGAATACAACGTGCCACTTACAAGGTCCAGAATGTGGTTGAAATTCTCTGAACATAGAGAGAATAAGAAAAGGGTAGCAGTCAACATACACCAGCATCAATATGTCCCCATTATCATAGTGAGCATTGGGAGACTTAAAGAAGCTGGGCTCAGTGAGATATACGAAGGTAAAGGAAAATGTGTTCATACTGTCTTCATAGCAGGGACGGAACTAATCAAAAGGAAGACAAACTAACATTAAAAAAATACAGTGTTCTAAAATTTTTTTACTTAATAGAATGAAGAGCTCAAAGGAGTCTATAAACTGAACTTAACTCAATGGTAGTTGTATATCTTAAAAATAGAGATAATAAGGTTTTGATAATAAAAAGAAACTTAAAGACCTGTGGCATAGTTGTATGCTTCATAATGTCCAAGAGGAAAAAATGCCAGCCTGTGGCAATAGCAAGAAGAACTGGCCAAAATTTACCTAACAAGGTGATAGACAAAATTTATAGACATGTATAAGTGTAATGACTCCTAAACTTGTGTAAATAACCGTCCTACATCTCTGAAAGCAATCCAAGTTGCTGTAGGAAATTTCACCAAAAGAAAACTGTGGTTCCCATTTGTGTCACTGGTGAATTCTAATGTTGATGAAGAAAAGACCCCAGTGTTGTGTATTTCAATAGGAAGAAGTTGAAGATTTCCAATTTATGTTATGGAATGAAGAGAAAATGTGAAAAAGACATTGAAAATATTAAACACAATATTAAAGCATTAAAGACCAATATCTTTTCTGAGAACAAAATAGCTCAAGAATTGCCTTATGAAGCCAAAACAATATATTAAAAAATCACATTAAATCTATTCAGTCTGACTAAGCATATTGTATCCCAGAAATATCTTTGCATTTTTTTCTTCCCCCCCCCTCCCTTCATTCCTCTTTTCTTCTTTTCCCCACCCCCTCACTCCCCCCCCCCTTTTTTTTGTCTGAGAATCAAAACTCAGGATCTCCTGTAGGTGAAGCATTTCTTCTACCACTGCCTGAGGGAAGGGTGCAGGTAGTGATCAGGCAACATAGTGCTGATAATGCAAAAATCATGACTTTTGGGCCTCAAGCACAAAACAACCCAGCAATTTCTGTGACTTTTGGGAAATGGAAGATCATCTTAGAAAAGAGACAATTAGAGAACAGGAGTTCCAATTTCCATTTGTAAGTTCAAGATCATTATGTGGCTAACCACTGAAACATGTATGTGTGGAAGAGACTTCAGTTCTGTCCTCCTCATTCTCATGCCAATGCTATTTTTAATTCTGATAACACAGAGAGATAAAATTTTTATAGCTTGTGCATAGTGAAAAATAAAAACATATTAATTTTTTGTAAGTATTAGGTGCACATATTAGAAAAAAGGCCTAGAATCATCTATCTCAAGACAGTTGGATTCAGAGTGAGCACAGAGAAAGAATTGCCAGCAGAAAATTGATAAAATCAAAGTCAGAAAATCAATAAACAATAAAATCTAGAGATAGTTCTTTGAAAAGTTGATGAAAGTGATAAACCTCTAAATGCTAAGGAAAAAGAAAACTATTTTATTAACAGCAGAAATTAAAAAAAGAATCATTAAAGATCCTATGACTATCGCAGCAATAACAAAGAAACATTGAGAGAATTCTTCACTCATAACTTTGATAACCTATATAAAATGTCAATTTTTTGAGTGATGCTACCTGTTGAAACTCATTCAAAAACAAGTAGAACAATATGAATTGACCTACATCTATTACAGAAAGTTATAAATAACTAGTAACATTCCAAATGTTCTCCTTTAAAAGATAAAAACATTAGGGATGCTTCATAAGTCATTCTACAATGTCATCACCAATCACACAACAAAACCAGATAATGATATTAAAAGCAATCAAAACTATAGACTGATACACTCATTAACATGCACATAAATATCCTCAATAAATTTTGCATATTGAATCTAACAATGCGCAAGTAAATTTATACAAAATGACCAAATGGGAACTATCCCAGGCTTTCAAGGCTGGTCAGTATTCACGTGATTAAATCAATAGATACTGACACAGAACTGGTTTGAGTTCCAAACACATTCATAATAAATAAATACTCAATGAAACTAGGAATAGAGATGAACTGTGACCTTGATAAAACCAGTTTTACATAAAACAACTACAGGTGTCATAACGCACTCTGGAAACATTTGAAGTTTTCCCAGTAGGACTAGAAACAAGATATGTGTGTATTCTTTCACCACTGCTTTTAAACACTGTACTGTAAGTCCAAACTCAGACAAAAATAAAGTAAAATTGCAAACACACACACACACACACACACACACACACACACACACACACACACACACTGAAGTAGATAAACTGTCTTTGCAGATGATATGACCATCCATGTAGACACTAAGAAACTGACAAATGCACTAATAGGTGAATGCAACAAATGTTAGCCTACAGAATTAATCAAATCCCTATATAGGAACAACAGAAAGAAGAAGTTGACTTGCAGGGTATTCAAAAGTCAAGGACGTGGAGACTCTGAATTATCAAGATGACAGTTCTTGTCAGCCTAATGTATATTTTCAAAGCAATCTAATCAAAATCCCCTCCAAAATACTTCCTTCAATATTCTCAACTTGAATCTTTAGGTTTTTTAATAGAGAAGCAAAACAAACATGCAAAGAAAAACTCAAAAGTTCCTATAAAGTTATGATAATTAAAACAGTATGGTATTGGGAAAAGAGCTGACAAAAGCCTCCATATAATAGAATAGAGAATCCGGAAATAGACTCACACCCTTTTTTACAACTGTACTTTCATGAGGAACAACACATTGTGGCAAGAAAAAAGAGTCTTTTGCTCACTGGTAGGAATAGAAAATAAGTCACTTTGGAAGAGTTTGACAGTTTCTTACAAAAGTAAACACTACTCCCAGCATATAATCCAGCAATCACTTCTTGGAAGTTTCCCAAATCAACAGGAAAGCCATGCTCCCTCAAAAGTTTCCACATAAATGTTTACAGCAACTTTATTCATAATTGCCCAAACTTGGAAGGAACTTAGATGCCCTTCAGTAGGTGAGTGGATAAATAAACTGTTGCATTCAGACACTGGAATACTAATCAGTGCTGAAACGAAGTGAGCTAGTAAGCTGTGGTGAGCATGGGAAAGACATAATGAATATGAGTAATTGAATGAAACAATCCTGAAAGGAGGAGGCCATGCATGATTCCAAGTATGTGGCATTCCAGAAAAGGCACAACCATGGAGACATTAACAATCAGTGGTTGCCAGGGCTTAGGAAGAAATGTAGGCGCTAAATAGGAAGAGCATAGGAGATTTTTAGGGCAGTGAGCTAGTGTACGTAAGAGTAGAACAGTCATTACATGTCATTATTCATTTGTAATCACTCACAGAAGAGAAAACACTGAAAGTAGCCATTATGTAGATACTGGGATTGGGTGATGATACATCAATACAGGTTGACTGATGATTACAGATGTGGTTATCTGGTGCAGGATATGGTAGTGGGCAAAGGTGTATGTGTTGGAGATGGGAGATGTATGGGAACTCTGAGTTTTCTTCTCAGATCATTTATGAATCAAAAATTTTTCTAAAAATGAAATTTATGAATGAACAAAGGGAATTTCGGACATTAAAAACTAGTAACAGTATAATATGTATAATCACATAAAATAAGTTTTACAACTTAGGCAAAATGAGTGAACTTATAAAGAAAATGCTACCCCCCAGTAGAAAATTTGGAAGTCCTTATATTAAAGAAATTGTATTTTACTTAATAAACCTTACCTTCAAAGAAGACTGTAAGCCCAATGTCCTTAATGGTGAGTTGTTTCAAGTATTTCAAGCATTATCAGACAAAGATATTCTGATAATCCTTTACAAATTCTGTCACAAAGTAGTGTACAAAGAACCACATTTCAACTGACTATCTACCTGTCACTAGTCACACTAAGTAACTCATGATGAATCATAGATTTAAATGTAAAAGCTCAAATCATGAAATGTTTTGTAAAAACCATGGAAGGGCTTACTCATGATGCTCAAAAAAAAAAAACCTGTTTCTTAGGTTCATAAATAATAACTATGAAAGTGATCATTTCTAGTTTTTTTCTAAACTAAAACTTTAAGCTTATCAAGACACTAATTAAAGAAATGAAAAGGCTGGTCACAGATATGAAGTAAAGATACATAAGCTATGCATCTGGAAAAAAATTGTTACCTAGGTATGTGAAGGAGCCCTGTGTCTTAATAAGCACAAGACAAACTGGTCAAAATTATTAAATTGTTGTGAAAAAGATTAAAAGTATTTAAGGGCAGTAAATGCATGAAAAGGTGTTCAGCATTATCAGACATTAGAAAAATGTGAATTTCACCTGATATCTCCTGTCAGCAAAACTAACGGGATTTTTGGGCAGACGAGTGACTGCATCCATTTTAAGGTAAACAGAATCATTGTAGCTATTGTATGAAAGCTAGACTTTTCAGAGAGATCATTTTTGACAACTTGAGCCACATTCAAGAAAAAAGGTGGAATGACAGCCTTAAAGGTGTTGTATCCTTGATACACGTAAAAGTATTAAGAGCATGGTGTGCCGATGAGCTGTGTGTGTACCAGAATTAGAGATGGAACAGCACTGGGTTTTGTCTTGGAGAAAGGTAAAAACTGAATTAATTTAAGATACTGAGAAAGGCCGGGCGGTGGTGGCACAAGCCTTTAATCCCAGCACTCGGGAGGCAGAGCCAGGCAGATCTCCATGAGTTCGAGGCCAGCCTGGGCTACAGAGTGAGTTCCAGGAAAGGCGCAAAGCTACACAGAGAAACCAGAAAAACCAGAACCCCTCCCCCCCTCAAAAAAAATTAAAAAAAAAGCCAAAAACAACAACAACAAAAAGATACTGAGAAAGAATAGGAAAAAGCTGAAATTGAAATGTTCCTGAATATATTAGATATAGAGATATATTAGAGAGATAGAGATATTGGATCAGGAGAAAAAATTATAATGGGCAAGGGGCCATTATAGAGTGCAGATTCTGGAAAATGCATGGTGATTTTGTCTATGGAAGCTTTTAAAACTTGATGCTTATTGCTCCTGTTTATGCAATGAAATAGAAAACTGGGCCATCGGCTGAATTTCTTTTTACCTTCTTAAAATTTAAAAATTTATACATTTATCCCAGAAGCTCAACTTCTAGGAACCTATCCTTTATAAACAAAACATTGACATTAAGGGGTGGTTGCTTATACCTGCCTTCCCAGCACTTAGAAAATTGAGGCAGGAAGATAGTCATAAGTTTCAGGACAGTTTGTGTTGAGACTCTCTCCCTGGTTAATAAAAAATGTACTAAAGGAGGAAAGAAATAAAACACTGAAATATAAGGGTATAAATATATATTTTAATATCAAATATAAATATTTTAGTATATTATTTATGTAAAATGTTTATAAAATATGAATAAAGATATTAAAAATAAAAACTAGCAACTTTAAATTGTTTATTTGAAAGTATAGACAAGAAAGAAATTTATTTTCCAGGAGGAATAATTTTCTTTTCTTTCTTTTTCCTTTTATCATATTATATTGTTTAGTTGTGGAAAGAAACACATATTGCTTTTGAATACTCACCTAAAGAAAACCGATTTTTAGGCTGGGCAGTGGTGACACATGCCTTTAATCCCAGCACTCGGGAGGCAGAGCCAGGAGGATCTCTGTGAGTTTGAGGCCAGCCTGGTCTACCAAGTGAGTCCCAGGAAAGGTGCAAAGCTACACAGAGAAACCCTGTCTCGAAAAACCAAAAAAAAAAAAAAACAAAACA